CGTCTTTAAGAGAAGGTTGGATAGGCATCTGGCTGGGGCCATCTCCTGCACTCTTGCCTGCCTAGGCAGGGGGTCGGACTCGATGATCTGTTGAGTTCCCTTTCAACCCTAGCATCTATGAATCTCCCATACTGACTTTGTGTCACCTAGGCTAGGGGCAGAAATTACACACAAACCAGTATAAGTGATCAGAAACTGGTTCAAATCTGTAATACAACAGAAGTTCAGTGTGCACAAACTGCTTTCAAAATGGCCACAACCAGTTTAAGATAAACCTGGAAGGATGCAATATCAGACTTAACTTATTTAGTTTAAATCAGTTAATTGAACTTCTGTCCCAGATCCCCTCCAGATTCAAGTTAACTCACCCACCCCCGTCGCAGGGTGGGCAGGGTAGCTTTGACCCAAGCTGTCTGTTCCAGCTGAGCAGGGAGGCAGGTTGTAACATCTAGCACCCCCTAGCTTCTGGCCTGGGCCACTGCAGGCATGTGGCTGCACTTCTGGAATCAAAAGTTCACTTGTCTGGTCACTTGCTTCTCAATTTGATCTACGTATTTTAGACTAAACTGCAAAGATGGAATCGATTCAGCCTTGGGCTTTTTTACTGTCTGTACCTAACCCTGATGATTCCCCTCTATCAGAGCTGCTGCTGTAGGGAATCTTTCTGGGACCACAAGAATAGCCCCTTAGGCCTGATATTAATATATGGATCTGTTAAGTATTGTTTACATATTATTGTTGCTATACAAAGCACATCTCTTGCAATGGGAGTTTGTATAATGCACTGTGAAACATCAGTATATGAAAAGAAACACTGCACTACTAGTCAAAATATACATCTTGTACATTTGTAATGAGAGCTCCAAACAAAGAATATTGTGTCTTCTTTGCACTACTAGTATACCTTGCTTGAAAAATGTGTGAACAATTTGTGAACCTTTAATTTAATTTTGTTATTCTGATAGATTCAATTAATGCTCTAAAGAACATGTAATGTATACTGCACGGTACCTGTTAATACTGCTCTTTCAAGAAAGGGTTACCATTATGCTACTGTAGCTGTCAAGTGGAATTACTGCTTAAATTATGTAGCTTTTTTGGGGGAAATATATAGCATAATAGAAAAAATATTCCCCATAGCTTTACATTGTACTTCCTTCTTCACAGAGATACATATGCCAGGCAAGGAAATCAAAGCATAATGCTAGAATCCTCCCTATAGAAGCATGATAGAGCATCATTTACCCATAGGCATTTATTATGTTGCATATTGATGTTACAAACATCAACTGGGTTTTTTTCCCCTCAATAAAAATGCTATGCTGCCATTTATTATCTACTTGGCAGAAGCAGTAATTTAATGCTATCAAAATGTTTATAGCCTGAGGAGATGTAGTTTCTAAATGTAAGAAAAATTTCATTTGATGTCATTTTGTTAATCATTGATTTTGTTATTGGAGATTTTATGGCAGAAGCATCTATTTTTGTAACACAAAGGTGATCAGATTTGCAGCTGATGTAAGCCAGCAGAGTTCTGAAGAAGTGAATGGAATTGTGTCAACTTGTACCATTTATAGGTGTGGACCTGAATTTGTACAGTTTCCTCAAATTGCAGGGTTGCATAATTAGCCGACATGATTTAAGATACTTTTAAAATACTTTAGCCAGCCAGAAACTAGTCAGCACATTAATAAGACGCTCCTTTTTTTATCCACAAGTGCCTGGGCGAAAGTATTCAGTGAGATTTTTGGGAGTGTCCCAACTTCCCAAGCATGTCAGAAAAAGAGTAAACACCTGAAACTTTTAGATAGAGCAGAGCCTCCTATTTCAGATTCAGTAAATGGTAGAGTAAAGCAAGACAGCAAATAATACCAAAGCCAGACTCTTCCAAATTTTTCTTAAGACTGGAACAGTTGTTTTTGCTCTCCTGAAAGCAGAGATTTTCTGTTGTTATCTAGGTCAGGAGCCTTAGTAAGACTCCTACTCATAGGGTGCATCTACACATGTGCCTGACAGCAGTTGTTTCTGTCATTTAGTACTTGCTAAAGTGACTGCACAGTAATTGCTGTTACTGCACAGTCCAGGCAGTTCATGGGCCGTTTCCAACCCTACTGCGCAGTAGCATCAGCATCATGGTTTGTGCCTGCTGATGCTACAACACCGTTACGATGAGCTATGTCACCGTAGCTCGTTGCTGTGGTGACATAGTGTCTTGTGCAGATGCACCCACTATGTAGGAAAGTGTTTTCCAGTTTCGTGTAAGAGAGAATATGCATTAAGTCACATTAGAGGTAATTGTCTAAATTAGAGGAACTATTCTAGGGTGATGTCTAAAGAGATTAATTGCAGCAATTTATATATTCAGTAAGAGAATCCTAATGCTATCCAGATGCATATTTTTCATGCAGACTAAAACAAATTAGCCACTCATATCTGCAGAAAATGATTTTCCCTTTCCAGAATATATTTATAAAAAGACTGAAGAATAATTATTGGGACTTGTGACGCTTCAAAGGGTGGTCTCAAAAAGATTCCTTCCTCTATTCATTGAATTTTTAAATGTTTTTAATGAATTTGAAATGTATAAGAGCTACTGATCTGTAGCCTGATCAATGAGAGACCCATATCTCTATCCTTTGTTGCTGACAGCTCTGTGGTTACAATTAGATTGTACTCCCGGTCTATGGCCATGCATGGTGTCACAAGAAAACACCTCTAGCACTGTACCTGGAAGATTTTAACCTTCCATACCCATGCATATAACAAAAATACAGCCAAAAAACCTGTTGGTAGCCATTGCTGTTGTTCAAGGTGTAACAATTTGGTGGTGCTTGGAGACTGTAGTGAAAAACTGTGATCCAGAACTGACTTAGTAAAGATTAAAAGAAAAAAAATGATAAGCAGGGATACTATCAAAAAGATACTTCATATAATTGGATAGGAGCCATTCTGTCCTTAGACAGTAGCTCTGAAGAACAGGCAAAGATCACCAAACAGTTCTTCAGAGAAAGGCAGCAGCCCAGAAAATCCAGGGACCAGACTGAAAAAACAAACTCTCAGTCTGTTGCTTATCTGCAGTATGTGTACAACTAACTATTCATTTAAAAAAAAGAATTTACTTTCTTGCTTTTGCACCAGGATTTTCAGTGATATTGAGCTAGCACTGGGAATGGACTTTGTTCATTGTTTCAGCTGTAGGGTGCTGTAGCAGCGCTATACAAAATATTTTAAATAGTACCAGGTATACAAGTATTTTATAAGTATTTACATACTTTAAATAGTACTGCAGTGGTACATCAAGAGTGTTTAAAATGATAGAAAACAGACATTGTACTTGGTGGACTTTTCAAATTGAGTAAGAACATTTTTAGCAGAGTTAAAATTGAAAGCATAAAATGAGATACTAATCTAGTGTATATCTCAGTGACCTGTGAAGTAGAGAGCAGAGTGTAATATTTATTTAATCAGGGGAAGCAGCAACAAAATGGCTCCCATAGCAGGGAAAAAATACTAACAAGCTGCTCATTACAGTTTATTGTTATTGTTATGTGGTTTTTTTTTCCATACTGAAAGGAAATACAAGGAAACAAGTGCCTCAGATTTCCAGTCTAGCACCAATTATTACCATTTCCATAAGAATAATTGCTCCAGTCTAGTCATTCTTAGAACCATTTCTGTAACTGAAAATTAGAGGAAAAATTATAATAAAAGTCCTCCCTCTTTTATACTTGAACTTTCTTTGCTGGTCATGAATGTAGAATTTTTAACAGATTTTTAACAGACAGGGTTTGTGTCCTGAGCAAATACTGCAGGGGGAGGGGAAATGAGGAAGGCTGGTTCTGAGAGTGCGATTGGGGTTGTAGGAGTCTTAGCCAGTCCCTGCCTACAGCTACTGCTCTTGCTGCTGGGGCATGGACTCCCTTGGAGGCTAGGGATGATTTTGGCACCCCTCCTAAGCCACTGCCTAGGGCTGGTGCCACTTTCACTCACCCCTAGTTACGCTACTGTGCCTGAATAATTTTTAACCAAAATAAAATAAAATAAAAAATCCCTTTTAGACTAGACCAAGCTTGGAAACTTCTAGCCCAGTGGTTAAAAAGTTTGAAAGATATGAGCAACTGATAAATCTGAGTTTGCAATAGAAATAGTAAGATTAGCTGTAGCAGGCAGTGCTGTTCTTATCGAACTGGGCATTCAACACAAAATCCACAATCACAAATGGAGCCCTTGTTGGAAGTCTCAGCTGAGAGCAAAGACATATGTGTATGTGCAGAGATATTCTTCTAGATCCAGGGTTGAGGTACATTGGTGGGAAGGTTGTATTGCCTAGGCAAATACTGTGCCTACTTTCTGGATAAACTGTTAGGATTTTGGCCTGTAGGTATTATTATTATTATTTTTAAATCCAGCATTTTTTATGAATAGCAAAATCACCAAAAATATTGACATGAACATGTTGCAGGCATGCCTGCTCTCTGAGGCTACGTACAGGCATTCAAAAAGCCCAAGTCAAAATAGATCTAAATTACGGTTTTCTGTAAGCAGCTTGGTTTAGATTGGTCGCTTGCTCCAAAGCCTACAGTGGTCTGGGTTTCTAGAGAAAAATCATTGCTGTTGGCTAGCATGAACTGATATACACAAGTCCCTTGGAGGAGGGGACCATCTCCTTTGCCTTTATAAGTTTTCCTGCCATATATTGGGTGCTGTACCAGTATCTGTACTGACTGAAGTCACTTGTCGAACCTAGAAGGCAGATGGAAAGTGTGAAAGGGAAGGGAGCAGGCCCAACAACCTTTTTCTTATTAACAAACTGAACACTACACCTGTTCTTTTTCTCCCTAAAGCTAGGTGCCTGTGTTGTTTCCTGGTACTGGTATGAGAAAAAAGAATTTAAGATAGGATAATGCTAAAAGCTGTCATGGCTGAAAGTCATTTTTGAAAACTCCTAGAAGCCTATCGGATTTAAATTTGTTGAAGTAATTTTTTGTTTGTCATTTCAGCTATGAAGTCTTACACTGCAGTTTTCATTCTCCTGTGGGGCACTATCGGGATAGCCAGGGCTGCCAAAATCATTGTTGTGCCGCCAATTATGTTTGAAAGCCATCTATATATTTTCAAGACTCTGGCCTCAGCTTTGCATGACCAAGGTCACCAGACAGTCTTACTCCTCTCTGAGGGCAGAGAAATCCCTCCATCTGATCACTATAGACTCCAGCGTTACCCAGGGATCTTTAACAGCAGCACTTCGGATGATTTTCTTCAGTCCAAAATGAGGAGTATATTTTCTGGGAGACTGACAATACTGGAACTATTTGATATCCTGGATCACTATTCTAAGAACTGCGACATGATTGTGGGCAACCAAAATCTAATGCATGTTCTGAAACAGGAGAAATTTGACCTGCTGCTGGTGGATCCTAATGAGATGTGTGGATTTCTTATAGCTCACCTTTTAGGGGTTAAATTTGCTGTTTTCTCCACTGGTCTTTGGTATCCAGCAGAAGTTGGTGCTCCGGCTCCTTTATCTTATGTTCCAGAATTTAACTCACTTCTCACAGATCATATGAACTTCCTGGAAAGGATTAAAAATATTGTTGTTCATCTGGTTTCGAGACTGGGAGTCAATTTTATGGTTATGCCAAAATATGAAACGATACTGCAGAAATACAAGGCTTTGCCAGAGCGATCAATGCATGATTTGGTTCATGAATCCAGCCTGTGGATGCTGTGTACTGATGTAGCACTGGAGTTTCCAAGACCCACGCTACCAAATGTTGTTTATGTGGGAGGAATCCTAACGAAGCCGGCCAGTCCTCTACCAGAAGTAAGGTTTGCTGAGCTTTATGGTCATTCTTGTTAAACATGGATGAATTCCTAAAATTAGTATTTTTTTGTCTCTCTTAAGGAATTTGAATGTATAAGCATTAATTGGTAAGCTAATATCCTCACATTTTAAAAAAAATGCTGTTTTAGGTTCTTCTTATTTTTTTATTTTATTTAATGCACTGTCACAGTAGATAGAAATGCATTGAGAAAAAAACCAAAACATTTATATGTAGGAACACACAGCATAAAAATCCCTCTTTCTTGGCTTCTGTAGATGTCCTCCCCTTTTTCTGCTATTGTTTTGAATTAGATATTTTATGATCTAGCAAAGAGGCTGTGATACATGGCAGCTTGGCTGTTAGAAATGGAAGTCTTTACCAAGTGCAAATGAAAGTAGAAAGGAAGTGGGTATGATTCATTGCATAGTTTTACATGCAAAATCTCTCTTGTTCCTCCATTAATGTGCTTCCTCTTCCCTTATTCCTCATTCCATGACAGGGTTATGACTCCTGTTTGAAAGTCTTCTGCTGATTAGAAGAGTAAATAATTTCCAATTTTTTTACTACAAACATAGATAAAGGTGAACCAGTGAAAACAGAGCTGTGACTAAACAGAAATGCCCCTTAAAAAATGACATTTGGCATTGGCGTGCAATTTAAGTATGGATCATGCAATGCTTGTACTGGCTGCTAAACTCAACAAACCTGAACCTCACACTGAAATGATGACAGTGCTTGAACACTGTTAGAAAACTGACTGCAGAGACCCTAATGGAATAATTAAATTTCATTGTTTGAGTGTATGACATACATGGTATCTAATAATGCCTCTGTTCAGTAATACTTTGACTGACAGAAAGAACAGAATAATTTCACAACAAATCGTATAATTAATAAAGAATAGTTATTCATATATTCACTGTTGCTCCGGTTGCAAGATTAATCTGTTCAATTAGTAGATGCTGTCTGGGCCAGAAAGATATTGGTGTGGAGGGATGTGTGTGGTTGTAAGATAGTGTAATCCTCCATTGCTTAGTTCTCAAAATATTTCATTTGGCTTAGTTTTGGAATTTAGCTGAAAACTCTGAGGCCTAGGTTTCACATAACATACTCTTTTAATTCCTAGACTTGTTGATATCTTACCTTAAAACTATGACTAGTTCTTTAATAGCAGTGACGACTTTTAGATTAGTTCAGAAATTGTAGCAGTTTAGAACTTTGGACTGCCTGATTTACAATACTTACATCCATATCTCCATCCTTATTTTTTAAATGTTTTTCTTTAATTGTTGTCCACTTACAAACAGAAAATAGAAACAACTGCATGGGAATCAGAAAATAAAGAAGGTTCTATATGACAGCAAAAGTAAAGGAAACCAGAGTTGCATTATGGGATACATAGTTTACATTCATATTTATATACTAATGCTGTCTTTTCTTGTACTTATTAAATTATTTACTATTTAATTGAAGATATTAAATGTCACTCTGTTCCATCCAGAAGATATGAAGTGGTGCACATACAAAATACTTATGATATTTTTGTTAACACACACTCTGAAAATAGTAGCAATGCCATAAAAATCAGAGACTCCTGTATATAACTCTGTGTGTGTGTGTGTGTGTGTGTGTGTGTGAGTGTGTGTGTGTGTGTGCGTGTGTGTGTTACCAAAAATATCATTAGTATTTTATATGTGCACTGATTGGTCACTCCTATGGATGGAAAATAATTGTATTTAACATCTTTAATTAAATATTAAATAATTGAATACAGAATTAAGAAAAATATCTTTCTTTGACAATACTGATAATTATTATAGTATTTTTGCTGGGAGAACACAAGCAGCTGAGGTAGAGGGGGAGTAAAAACCGGTGACTACTCTGTTAACCCCCTTCACAGTAGGCTTTAGCAGGCACTGCTGGCTGCCAACCCAGCTTGAAGAGGCCAGGCAGTTTGGATTCTGCAGAATGAAACCCTCTTCTCCCCATGTTTCCTTGTTTAAGACATGAACTTCAATTTTCACCAGCTGATTTTTAGGAAAAAATGTCTGTGTTATATGCAAGTAAATGTGATATATTATAGCATTATATAGGTTATATAAAATGCTATCATCAGCATTTTAAAATAAATTTAGATTTAGTGTCATCATTTCTGTGATGTGGACTTTGTTGGGCACTCTTTGTAGCTTGTTCGGTACTCACTCCTAAGTTAGTACCACTGAGTTGGTCTTGTGATTGATTCCCACTGTGTATATTAAAAGTTTATGAGCAAATAAATCACCAAACTGCAATCAATAAAAAAGTGGATAGGAGCCCAAACGTCTCTTTAAATAATGAATATATGAGAGTGTTTGATAATCAAATTTAGATCATTTTAATTGTGAATGATTCATTTGGATCAAAAGGGAAGGAAATTAGTAAAGTCTTTGCAACATGGACTATCTCATTTTCTTGTAAATTTCGCAATTAGAAGCCTCAATCCTCAGATGTCCCAGAGCTCAGACTGATGCCGTTTTGAGCAGGAAGAGGAGAAGGTGGCCATCTTTTAACATACATAATCTGTGTGACAAAGTAAGTGTCCCTAAATAAATAGTGTCCAGGAAGTATAGCATTTTAGGAGACAGTCTGGGTGAGGCCAGTAGGAACTTCCAGGTAACAGAGGAAGAACAGGCCAGCCACACCCTTTCAAGATCTGTAGTAACAACTGTTCTCTTTTATTAGAAATAGTTTTGTATATAAGTTCCTGTACATAATAATAAGTTATTTCATACAGAAGCCTCATTGAGATACCACAGCCTAGTTTTAGGCAGAAGGCAGGGCAGAGTGACACCTCAGAGATTAAGACTGCTTGCAGATGTGAACTGCCTTCCCCCATGGCACTTTACTTTAAATTCAGTGCACTGCCACACTGAACACCGTGCATGCCCAGAAGAGGTATCATGTTAGTTGGACCCAGCTTGCTCAACGTCTGTACAGATCAAGCGCTTTTGTGGGGCTTTTTTGGTGATTTTATCTAATAGCTGATTGAATTAGCTTTAGATAAAAGCACCAAAAAGCCCTGCTGAAGCGCCCAATCTATACAGACTCTGCAGAGCCAGGTTGGACTAATGCGCTGTTTTTTCCAGTAAAGCACATTTTTTTTCCCCTCACATCTGTCAGTGTCCAAAATATCAGCTGTCATGACCAATCTTTTGACGTTTCATCTTTTAAACTAAAATTTTCTTCTTCTGTAGGATAGCCATTTTAGTATATGCGCTGTAACAGTGAAAAAATTGGTGTTGTGTCAAGTTTACCTTTTGCTCTATATGTAAAGGGTTTTCTTAGGCTAGGGAGTTGGTGTTTTTTGAGGAAACAAAGGTTGGGTTTTGTTTGTTTGTTTGCCAAAAATCCGCTTGAACAGAATAATAAAGGGCGAGCAAAATATGAAGGCAGTAAATCCATCTATATGTGCAATTAATATGAAGCAGTAAACTCCAGAGCAGTTTGAGCATGAGTAAGTTACTTCCAGGTGCAGCGTCTACACATGCACCCAGGCCAGCCAGGGCAGAGCAGGCCTGAGCTGGCAGGGGGAATAGGGGGCTAGCCCCAGGCTTTGTGTGGCAGCATTGGGTGGTGGAGGGGCTGGCTGTGACATGAGGGTGCAGAACCTGTGGAGCCATGTGGTTAGGTGGCAGGCAGGAGTCTGGCCCCCAGCTGGCTGGGCTGACCAGGTGCAGTTTAGGCCAGCAGTCAGTGTCTACATATGTGTTTTGTCATAGTTAATCACCAACAGTACTAGCTTACGGTGTAGTTAATTAGAGATGGTGATGCTTTACTGTGCTTCTTATTAGTCTACTCTGCAATAAAGCACATGTGTAGATGTACCCAGTGTATTTTGTTATGACACCAAAGTGTAAAACAGCTTAGTTTTACAGAAGCTCAAAACATACTTCATTATAGTGCTTAATTTCCAGCAAGTAAATACCTCCTTTTGTTTTCTATCACCAAACGGATTCTTGGACTTTTTCCAGTGTATGTTAAGTTGCATATTCTGTTTAGCTTTTACTTATTCCAACTGGGTAAAAGTACTGAGAGGACTTGGAAAAAAAAGTACAACATTTGGAGGGCATTTGGGTTATCAGGGTGATGTGGGTGATTTGGTTAAACACAGATAACAATAAATTATGCTATCACTGATGGTCTTGATGTAAAGTATAAAAAAGTTTGAATTCTTCGTCTGATGTATTTAGTTAAACTGGATGACTTTTGTACCCCCTAGTATCTGAATTCCTCATAGGACTTTCAGTAAAGTACACTAATGTAAGAGAAACTGCATCTTGGGTGCCTGGGAGCCTTGCCTCTGTTTAAGTCGTATTACATGAAAACTGGATAAAATGTGCTATACCTCCCTAGGATGCCTTCAAGGCACTGAATGGAATATTATGTTTCAGTCGCATAAAAACTGGGTATCAACTGTAAAAAGAGCAGTCTTATGTTTTTTTTATCATGGACTGTGTTACCCTGAATCCCTAAGGACTCTTCGATAGCTCTTCTAAGTATTTCAGTGAGCAAGCAGAAGAAGCAACAAAGGTTTAATAATTTCATTTCCTTGTGCTGCTGTAAAAGTGAAAATCTCTGATTAGGAGCTGCTGAAATCAAGGAAAGCCTATAGTAAAATGTAGAATGGTATGATGAATGGTTGTCCAGCACTACAAATATATACCCTCAATGCTCAGTTATACCTTTTCTGTGTCTAGTGCTTGGTAAAGACTTCCCTTAGCTTGTTCAGCATACTGAAGTATAATTAGTGACTATGGTTCTTATCTATGGTTTTCTTTGGAATAAATACAGATTGGTCCGTGTGAATTAGTGGTAAGTGTAGAGATGGTCAACTTGGAAAGATTTTGGTCAGTGTGCTATTATCGGTGACATTAGCTGGTATGTTTTACAGCCTTCCAGATTTTACCTTTATTCAAGAGTGAGATGGTATTGGCTTTCAAACAGGAGCTGTGCAGGAGTT